TTATGTGATGTTGGCCTCCAGCGGGGAGTAGCCCCAGACGCTCATTTCAATGCTTTGCATGCCTGGGGAGTGTCGGAGCCTTATTGCATGGAAAGAATGAAGACATTCATGGCAGCCCCTTGCCTTCAGGAAGATGCTGACATCTGAGTCTCTTTGCCTGCTTACACTTTGCAGTCGGTCCCTTTCCTCCTCCTGGGGGGCCCACCTAAGCTCTGGAGGAGTTTGGGTCAGTCTAGCGTTTAAAGTACTGGTTGGAATGATGTCTGCTCTGAAGACTGTCACGGGGAAGCCAGGCACAACATGAGGGTGTCTGGTCCCCTAGAGATTTTACTTGCTAGGCAGAGAAGCACACATCTTTAAGCCCAGCACTCCGGAGGCAGAGGCAGGCAGTCTTCTGTTTGAAGACAGCCTGTCCTACCACAGGAAGTACCATGCTATCAAGGACTACATAGGGAGTCACCGCTTTGACAAAAAAAAAATGCCTAAGTACTACTTATGATCATGTGATCATATTCCACAGAATTCCTTTCCCAAGTCTTGTGAAACGCCCCCATGAGGACCAATAAGTTGGTTCCTAAAAGAAAGGCACATACCACCAAGCCTAATTTGATCACACTTGAGGTCGATTACTGGGACCCACAGGGCAGAAAGAGAAAACTGACTCCTGCGAACTGTCCTTTGACCTCCACATTCAAGCCTTTGCACACATGGGCACACAAATACAGAAAGACACACAAAATTAATAATGTAATTTTAGGCACACACATGTGAAAGAGATTGGGACTATAGATCGCTTGGTGGAGTGCTTGTCCTGCATGCCTGAGGTTGTGGGTTCCATACCCAGCACTGGCTGTGCTACACAAGACTGGAATCCCAGCACTTGGGAGGTAGAGCAAGCATCTAGGAGGCTTAAAGGCCAGCCTGTGATACAAAGCCCTGTCTCACCCAAACCCTATCACGAACAAATAATCCTCTCTATCCCTGTCTGTCTGTCTGTCTGTCCATCTGTCTGTCTGCCCGCCTGCCTCTCTGGATCAAGCACATGCCCTCCATTTTCCTCTGGACTTTGGCTCATCACTGTGTTAGCTACTGATCCTGTCTCTCCAGGTTCCCAGCTCAGGAATCTGGCAATGGGAAATTCAAGAGAGTCAGGCTTTCACTGTTTTGATGGAGTAAGAGAAAAAGAATCTGGCCCTGGGTACGAAGAGAATCTGGTCTGTGGGTACGTTTGGGTGAAAATGAGGAAATGGAGTCACCTTGAATTTAAAGTCAGGTGGCAAGTGGAAATTTTCTGTCAGGTAGATGGAACATGAGTTACTATCCCAGGTCCAAGGCCTATGATTGGTGAATATTCAGCGCAGGTGTTCTAACCCGCTGCCCCACAGCTCAGGACTCTCCACGTTCTTTCTCCAAAGTTTTTCTGTCCCTTCGAACCACAAACCTCAGCTGTGTCCCCACATGGGTGTGGGAGTTTGCTGCTTCTGGGCCAGAATAAAAACAACGGAGGAGACAAGGGAGGAGAATGCCACTGTAGCTCGAAGGGTGGAGCCAGAAAGGAAGAGGACAAGAATTCATAAAAGCAGGCTCACTTTCTTCTTGATTAGCTGATCATCCAGAAAGAAAATCAGAGCGAGAAAAACTAAAGAGGAGAAAGACAGATTACAGGAGCTAAAAATACTAGGAAGAAAGCTTGGCTGAGCATCAGAGGAGGACAGATGTGTTTCCAAGTAGCGGCATGAGCTTGCATATGTCAAGGAGCTCAGCTCCAAACATGTGGGAAGCAAGGGCTATTTAGACTGAGCTCAGCAGAATACCATAAAAAAAAATATATTCACAGAGCTGGGTAGCGGTCACGCACGCCTTTGATCACAGCACTCGGGAGGCAGAGGCAGGTGGATTGCTGAGTTCTAGGCCAACCTGGTCTGTAGAATGAGTTCCAGGATAGCCAGAGCTAAAACAGAAAAACCCTGTCTCAAACAAAACAAAACAAAACAAAACAAAACAAATAAACAAAAACTGTTCCTAGAGCATGACACACAGGAACAGGCAATGTGGACATGCTCCTCCCTTCTCCCAAACTCTCCCACCCAAGCCCTAACCAGCCCTAAGTCTACTTAGATTCCTTTAGATCAAACCAGGTGTGCCAGGGTGGTATTGCATGAAATTGATCTCACTGCCCAGACTGAATGATGACACCAAAGATCAAAAGCCTCCCGTGGCTTCAGGAGCCTAGACCAAACAGTACCTGAAGCCTGACTTCCTTATTCTAAACAGCGTTTGAGGCAAGAATCTCTGAAGAGCCTACTCTCCTTACTGTGTCTACAGGTGCCCCTTTCCCCTGCCATTTAACAAAAGAATTTTCCAGAAATGTAGTAGTCCAGAAAATTCCGAAATCAGGTGAAAACGAATCAAGAAAGGAGATGCTGTGGAGCTGGGGTTAGAGCTCAGTGGTGGAGCACTTTCCTAGCTGTGGGAGGCCACAAGAGAGAAAGTGAGAGCCATCGAGAGAAAGAGCAAGAGAGGGAGCAAGAGATGAGACGGGGCAGGGGTGAGGGTGGGGGGATGCTTTGATACCAAAGCTGCATCAGGTTTTGTTTTGTTTTGTTTTTAACTTTAAAGAGGCCCATTGTTTGGTTTTATAAGCCAAATTGATTTATATGAAACCTGAGCTGAAGATTATACCAAATGTTGGATCATGCCACTTAAGACTGTGGGCTGCAGGGACCAGAGAGAGGGGTTGATAAACAAATTATTAATATTAATAAAAGCATTATCTACTTTCTATTTAAGTTTCAAAAACATTTATTGTGTTTGTATGTATGCGTGCTAGAATGTTTATGGAGGTCAGGGAATACTTGAAGATGTTGGTTTTCTCTTTCCCCTATGTGGCATCTGGGGGTCAAGCTCAGGTCACCAGGCATAGTGACAAGCACTTTACTTGCTGAGACATCTCAATGGCCCTATTGTGTACTTTAAAATTTACTTTATTATTGGGCTGGAGAGATGGCTCAATGGTTAAGAGCACTGTCTGCTCTTCCTAAACGACCTAAGTTCAACTCCCAGCACCCACATGGCAGCTCACAACTGTCTGTAACTCCAGTTCCAAGAGATTTGACACCTTCACACTGATACACATAAAATAAGAAAAATTTACATTATTGTTGCTATTGTGTGTATGTGTATGTATGTATGAATGTATGTATGTATGTATGTATGTGATATGTTCGTGTGGTTGTGCGTGCCATAGCACACACATAGGGATCAGACAACTTTGCAGAGTTGGTTTAACCCTTTGTGTGGGTTCTGGAAATTGAACTGGGGTCACCAGGTTTGCACTGACAGGTAGGCAGCAGGCACCTTCACTCACTCATTCATTCATCCTGGTGACTCTTACGTATTTTCTTTTTTAAAAGGTTTTATTTGAAGGTAGGTGTGGTGTTGCATGACTTTAATCCCAGCACTGGGGAGGCAGAGGCAGGTGGATCTCCGTGAGTTTGAGGCCAGCCTGGTCTACAGATGAGTTCCAGGAACGGCTTAAGGCTACATGGTGAGAGACCTTGAAAAAAAAATAGAAAAAGAAGAAGGAAAAGGAGAAGGAAGGAAAGAAAGAGAAAAGTATTTGTACTTTTATTTATGTACACACTTTGTGTGAATGCATGCCACGTGCTGTGTGGTGCCTATGGAGGCCAGAGGAAAACACTGGATTTCACAGAGTCACAAGTGTTTGTGAGCTGCTGGGAACCAAACTCAGGTCTTCCAGGTCTATCTGGCAGAACAGGAAGTGCTCTTAACTGCTGAGCCAACTCTGAGCCCTCTTGCTAGCTACTCTCTCTCAATTCAATCCGTGTCACCTGAAGACAAAATACCATGCTTCTTCCTTGAGAATCCTAGAGCAAGAACGTTACATATCTGGAACCAATTCCGTGGGCAGCGGTGCCTGGAACTCATTCTGCATTGTTCCACTTCATTCTCATGGTTTACCTTTTGGAGATGATGTTGCTATCTGTCTCTCAGGGAGGAGAAAATTCCAGTTCAGAGATTTGCATTTGCTTGCCTGCTGAGTGATGGATCTGGGACACCAGCTTAGAACAGTTCCTGAGTCTAGGGAAAGTCTTCTGACAATGGAATTAGACCTGGGCCCAGGGCTGGTAGAAAGATGGAGTGGCCAGGGAAGAGAGTTACTGTTGTCACTGTGAGAGACAACTGTGAGTTTCCAGATCAAGCTATGTAACCTTTCGCTGGGTCTATTAGCCATAGGACCTGGGGCATTATTCTTGAGCAACTTGTGCCTTGGTTTCTTCATTTGTAAACTAGGGGTTTATACAGTCACCCACATGATTGTTGGCAGCTTCATGATACAAGCTTCAAAAGTATCTGGCCTTCAGTAAGTATTCAATAAATACTGATTTTATTGATGCAGGAGAAATAACACAAGTGACGTTACTAAGGGTTGGGTTAAGAAGGATGAGGTGTACCTTAGGGTGTAGCCAACTGAAGTAAGCCATGCTGAGCAGAGAGAAGGAACTGAGTCAAATCTGAAGAGTTGCAGGGCTGGAGAGCGCCTGCTATTCCAGTGAATCAGAGTTTGGTTCCTAGCACCCACATGGTGGCTCACAGCTGCCTAGAACTCTAGTTCCAAGGGATCTGGCAACTTCCTCTGGCCTTTATGGCCACTTTCATATGTATGCACATACACACAAATAATAAATCTTTAAAATAAATGCTATTAAAATATGAAGAGTAGGGCTGGGGATGGAGATCAGTGATAAAGTGCCTTCCTAGCATGCTTGAGGTCCAAGGTTCAAATGCCTGGCATGGGGGGGGGGGGGGAGGAGGAAAGGAGGAACAGGGAGAGAGGAAGAGGGGAAGGAGAGAGGGAAGGAGGGAGGGAGAGAAAGAGTTTGTTTTAAGAGCTATCCATGTGGATGGCTATGTGCCAGAAGGTTCAGTGTTCCTCAAAACCAGGCTGTGTCTCTCCATCTTTGAATGGCAAGACCAACATGGTAAATATGGTGGGTAAGTGTCTGGAAGAAAGGAGGAGGTGAGACAACCACACTTGTGATGGGGAAGGATGCTGGGCATGGTGGCACATGCCTGTAATCCCAGTACTGATCCCAGGCTGAGGCATGAGAGTCATGAGTTCTGGAACACAGTCTAGGTGGCTTTGAATAAGGAGACTGCTGGGAATGGAAGGGAGGGGAGGAAAGGGAAGGGAAGGAAAACAGAATGATTCTTCCTCGTCCCTGCCTACTCTCCACCAAGCAGTCAAAGGCAAACGGTAACTGTCTGGCGACCTACAGACATGCTGCCATTTCTCTAGGATTCACTGCTTTGGAAAGATGTTTGCTTGTCTGGTTTTAGATATTTGCAAACTCTTCCCAAAGACAACCCTTTTCCAATGCCCTGCTCTAAAACTGACCCACCTCTTGGGAGGTGAAGCCAGAGTTTGCTGCTGAATGGGCGTCATTGTCTTCCCAAGTGTCTGTGGGTCCAGATGCCACGGGCCTGCGGGGGGGGGGTGGTGGCTCTACCCCAGGGCAGCCTGTGTTGTGGTCAGCCTGCCAGCTTTGAATCACTCCAGGGACAACAGCTGAAATTTCAAACAGGCAACACATGGCGATTCCAGGAGTCTCTGCCAGACTCACACTTTGTTTTTCCATCATTTCACTTCCCTCCCACTCTGGAAGGAGCCTCCTTTGGCATTTTGTGTATGAAAAAAATCAAAACCACCAACAGGACCAGCACCTGATAAGGAGTGAGGCATTGCCCAAGAGTTCCCAGGAAGAGGCAGTCTTTGTTCTCATTTCCAGGCCTTTACCATGCTAACAGCTCTAATTACTGCATTTGCCATGGGATGTAAAATAATACCACATTCCAGAAACCATGTCATGTCTTTGGGCAAGAGACATAGGGAGAGGTGCTCAGGTCTGCAGGAACGTGTTCTTTCATTTCTGGTCCCCTAGCCTTGGCAGCTATTTTGATAATTTAACAGTACCCTCTTTATGTGCATGGAGAAGGGTACCCATGCAGACATAAAGGATGGATTTTGACATCTGCACCCACATTATCTGGTTTGCATGCCTGGTGGTATTTTATGCAAAGCGTGTTTCCTATAAACATAAGATTGTTTTTCTCAAGACTTTTAGGGTAAATGAAGACTCTAGACATTTCTGAGTTTTTTCTAACACCGAACCATAAAATCTGATGATGTAATAGCTGCCTACGCCCACCTCACAACCCAAAGTGACATCACAAATATTGGAGTGAATAGATCAAACTGCCCACATGCCAGCCATAATCTAAACAGACAGCATTTTGCCCCAGATGAGAAAGGTGACTAACTAGAAATATGAAAGCAAAGAACACACAATTGGGGGGGTGTAAAATACAGATTTCTTCCTCCTACTAAGGTAGCTAAAATAGGGAGGCAGAGTCAGATGGATCTTTGTGAGGCCAGCCTGGTCTATAAAGCGAGTCCAGGAGAGCCAAGGCTACACAGAGAAAATCTGTCTTAAAAAAAAAAAAGTAGCTAAAATATTTAGGCAACTGAAATAGGGCAATTTTATTTAAACATATTTCTTATGTGTATGTATATGGGCCCGACATGTACACTACATATATACAGAAGCCCAAGGAGACCAGAAAAAGGCATCCGAGGCTCCAGACTTGGAGTTGCAGGCGGCTTGTGAGCCTCTGTGTGGGTGCTGGGAAACCTGTCCTCTGGAATAGCAGCCAGCTAGCTCTCGACTGCTGAGCTTTCTAGTCCCTGATCATATTTTTATAGGTGACATTTCTTAAAAAGCCAGGTTTCTTTATGTGATTAAATCCATCTAAATTGTTCTCAGTCCCATGAAGCATGCTTTGGCCTTTATGCACCTCAGAGTTTATTTCCCTACCGAGTGGCTTTTATCTGGTTCTTGTTACTGGGTTAGAAGGCACAGTCACGGTCCAGCAGGACTTACCCGGTTATCATTTGTCTTTGAATGTGTATGAGTTGTGACCAGCTTATCCATCTTGCAAGATGGTCGGTCCTATTCCTTTCCTGCCTGCTGTTAATTCATCTTTCCAGCAAACTGTCTCATGTTTCTACGGAGCTCTTCCTGACTCCTGCTTCCTGTCCCAGTATGCTGTGTTCTTTAAGATCTTCATGACCTTTTAAAGTTCACATCTTTCCCTTACTTGGTATGAAAAAAAAAACATCTAGATAAGCAGGAGGCACAAAACCTAGCAAGATTTCTAAGATCAGAGTTAAAAAATCATTTCCCCTTTAGACCCCAGCCTCCCTACCTATGGATTCTTGACAATCCATCTCACTGAACACCAGGCTGCAGGACTGCTATGTGCTCCCAGCAACACCCATGCAGTCAGGATGGGTGCAATGCAGACCAGTGCCCCGCACCAGGTGCCACCTCTTGCTGGGAAGTGTCAGGTAAAAGCGCCAGGCAATTAACAGGTAAATGCCATGGTATGCCTTCCAAGCTTAGAGAAGCAAAATCCTTCAAAGGACTGAAGCCCAGGGATAGCACAATGTTGAAAGGTACAGAGACACAACAGGAAATGCCAAGAGCAAGTGGCCAGAAGGCCTGCAGGTGGCATCAGAGAGGTAACCAATGGCCAGTGGTGATGAGATGGGTGTGTGTTGGGGGTCGGGGGGTGGGGAAGGAAAAGCTAAAGCTAGAGATTTCACTATCCAGGTGATGAAAATCCTAAAGCTAAAGACAGGTTTGGGGTGGAAGGATCCCTGCAATAGAGGGATAGAACACCAGATCTAGTTCCGGGATTTAGGGCTCATCCTATGCTAGGTTCTGCAGGATGACTTTATACAAAAGGAAGTTGACAGGAGGGAAAATAAAGGTGAAGATGGACAGTATGTGCCTACGCATACACACCTTAAGCCTGTGAACTTGTACTCACTCACAGAACTTGGCAGCCGGAGGCCTGATTTTATTAATCCAGTTCTGTCGCTATATAGTGGCCAGCAGAGCTCAAGAGAATGTCTTAGAAATTGACTGGTTGTCAGCGTTCAAATCCCAACTCTGACCTCTTGTGTGTCTTGACTTTATCATATAAAATGATAGAGGACCTTCTCTCACAGAGTTCCGTGAAGAGTAAATGAATTAATACATGCAAAGGCCCTCTGAATGGGTTGGCAGAGTGATTAATTAGGAACTTGCTTAGTATGCAATAGATGTCAGCTATCGTTATGAACTTCCTAAGCTTTGTGGCCTTGGGCAAACCCATTGTAATTTCCCAGCTTTTAAATCCATCTCTGCTGACTCTGCAGGGTTCTCCGGAACACACAGTGCCATATGTGAAGGTATTCAGTAACAAGACTGCTAGGCAACAATGTTGGTTGTTGCTGTAGTGAAGACTGAGACACAAATCCCCCATCATTATTCTGAGCTCCCTTCTCAAGTTTTAACTTTGACATCTCTGCTTTCTTCTTGGCCTGAGTAAAGAAAGTTCAAAGGAGAAAACAGGAACAGTCAGCCAAGATCTTGAGGACAGATAACGTCAAACATGCAGCAGCTCCCAAGTGTTGTCTAGGGACAGTGGGATGACAGCCTGGAAGAACTGGACACTGCTTCCTGAAACCCAAGAGGGACAGCAGTTGGAGGTCATGCCAACCATCCACGGCATCCTCACCAAGGGTTACAAGGCTCTGCACCACACTGTGGTAGAGCCCATGCTGTGAGATCCTTCTGGAATCCCCAAGAGGTACAGCTAGGGGCCAGGCAAGGCCATTAAACAAAAGCTCTGGGAAGCTTTTCACAGTCAGCTGCCACAGGGGGGAGCTGGGACCTGGAGCTGGGCAGGGAGTGTGGCTGCTATCACTGAAGAGTGGCCCAAGCTCGGATGAAAACAGGAACTCATAGGATTGTAGCGTCCTCTGCAACGTGTCTGAAAAATAAAGTGTACCTTTCACCTAATCTCAAGAGTGCTTTGCAAATTAGTGACTACCCTCCCAGAGAAAAGAGACAGTCTCCAGTCTTTCTTTCGAGACAGGATCTCTACATAGATCTGGCTGTAGAACTATGTAAGACCAAGCTGGCCTTGAACTCAGGGATCTACTTGTCTTTGCCTCCCAAACACTGAGCTACTGTGCCCAGTTGGTTTTCTGGGTACAGAGTAGGGCAGGGCAAGGCAGATACGGGGGGAGGGGGGGCGGGGGGCGGGGTTTGAACCTAGAGCCTTGATTGTTGGCAGGGTTTCATTAAATTGCACAGACTGGCCTTGGATGCCCTCTGTAATCCAGGCTGCCCTGGAAGTTGTGTTCTCCCTGCTTCAGGTTCCTGCCACACTCTGTTACTCAAGGATTTAGCCCAAATTCCAGCCAATACACTGATGACTGGAAATGCCTAACTTGGACTGTTAACAGGGGTCCTCTAACAGGACAGAACTCAGAGCACTGACCCACGTAAAGCAGCAGGCTCTAGACTTTAGGGACTACAGCAATGACCACATGTAACACATACTTGATAAAATTGTATTTTTTTTACAGTCATTTGTACAATTTGTTACAAAACCATGTAAGACTACAACTTGCTTTAAATCATTTTTGGTCTGCAAATATGTAAAATCTGTGTGCAATTATCATGTATTTACAGGGCCTTGTTAGTCATTTTCAATGATTATTTCAAAATGTCACACTCTCAACAGAAGACATGGCTTAAGATAAATATATTAGTAAATAAATATTCTGAGAACATATTTCCATAAATGAAATGTGCTGCTATACATATACAGAATATACATAAGTTGTTTTCTAGCTTTTAAAACAGTTTTTAAAATGGTAATGTTGAAAAAGAGCCCTTAGACCATTTTATCACAAAGTCTTTACAAAATATTAAGTGCTATGGGAGAAATTAAAAAAAAAAAAATTAAAAGTGTCTTATTAGACCAAAACAATACAGTTTATGTAAGAAATAGAAAAAGGCAGATCAGCTTCAAAGATGATACTTTTAATTAATTCTTTTATAGACCACATTTTAAAAGCATTAGTCCTGTGTGAACCCTGAGACCAGAAGCACGTCGGGGAGGGCCTGAACCACAGTATAGAAGACAGAACCTAATAAAATGGTCTGGGCTTAGAGGAGAGGGACGGTCAGCTACTGGAACTGTGACCACAGAGGCACATACCTCATGGATCAGAACGCCTAAACTTCCATTTTTATCTGATTCTAAAATCTGAGCTGATCTGGATGTTTTATACCCAGGACTGGTATCCAGCTGACATTTGGTATTACACACTTAGATGGTATAGAGGTTCCCAGAGGAAAAGTGTGGTGCTCCTTGTCCATGGTTATACAATCACCACACACTATTGACATTCCTTTTCCACCTCTCCCTCCCCAAAAGAGGGTACCTGTCACCAGTATTAGAGCCACAGACATTATTTTCGTGGATGGAACTGGTGACATAGGATAGCTGATAGGTGGTTTTATTCTGATCTGATGAAGCAACACAAAGCTGATAATTGTTTCTAGATCCCCAAACTACAACAATCACAAGTGCTTGTCCCCTGCCAATAGCCTTCTTTCAGAGGGTAGCTGGACTTGTCTGACTTCTTCCAGTGGCATTCGGATTCCCTACTCATCTTTGCAGTAAGAGTGCTGAGAAGTGGCTTCCTAGCCAGGCAGCGCAATGGCAAGCCTTTCTGGGGTCTGTTTCAGCACACACAGATACCAAAAACAAAAAAACAAAACCACAAACAACAAAGATCTCAACAATGAGGTGTGCTTTGCAGTTCATGTTAAAAGCTGTGTCCCCATTTCCTCTGCACAGGAGGCAAGCTGTTGTTCTTTGCAGCTGCTACCTCTGGCCCCAGAAATAAAGGCAGCCCTGATCACATGTCAATGGTTTGGGCCCTTCTCACACCCTCGCCAACAGGTGCACTGGGCATAGTCCCGGGGGGGGGGGGGGGGGACGACACACTCCCTCAAGGGACCCACCCCCTAGAGCTGGTTTGGAAGGACAAATCTCACCATGGCTACTTCCTAAAGGGCAAATGGCTGGATCATCTGATATGGGGATTGGGATAGAAATAAGTAAATGTCCTCATTTTAGGATGGGAATTTAAAGAACAAAGTATTCTGGAAGTCTCAAAATGTGCACTCTGGCCTCTGGGATGACTTCCTGGGGGTCTGACTGGAAGAGGGGTCATTTCTTTCTCTGGCAACCCAGGTAGTCCCCATTATGTAACTGAGCTTTCAGACCCATTGGGCCAAACTCTTCCTGACGGCAAAAGACATCGCTAAATGAATGAGTGGAAGTGAACAGAAGATTTAGCGAACACAGGGCCAAGGCAGTTAGTGTCCTCTAAGGAAAAGAAAGTATTTTCAAGAACAAGGACCATATTGAACAAAAAGGATTACAATCCCTGAAGTAGTTTTAAATAGATTCTCTCTCCCTTTTAAGAACAAACAAAACATCTGAAAAACAGTAACAAAAACAACCAAAAATGGTTTGGGTTTTTTTTTTTTAAAACAAAACAAACAAACAAAAACAATAACAAAAACTCTTCCCCCTTAAAAAAGAGGCTGGAAAAAATATACAAAAGCCTACCCTTTGGGTCTGAACTATCAGATAGTCTGTCTCGTGGAGAATCAGTGCATAATAGTGCATCCGGCAGACAGTCTAGCAGACATCTGCTGGCAGGGTGAGCCACTGCAGCCACCAGGCTGAGGACTGAAGAGCCCCAAAGCTGCATTTATGGGGATGGGCGATTGGTTCAAATGGAGTTTAGTGGACCCCTGCGGGTCAAGCATGAGACCGCCCAAAAGGCAACCTAAGAGGGGCGACAGCTGAGGGGTGTGGCTGCCCAAGGCCTATGGGCAGAGGTGTGCCCCAGCATGCCTTTCTGCGAGGGTGGTGCACTGCTGCTGGGTGAGAGAGCTTGTTCCTCCAGTCCCACAGGCCACCAAGGCCACCAAGCAACATTCCTCCGGGTGTCTGCCCCTCACACCCCATTCAAATCACCTCTGCAACTGATGGCATCAAGCCCAAAATGACTTTACAGAAGACTCCAAGGCTGACAGTGAGGGTGAGAGCCTCTTTCCTGTCCAGTGGTCAGAGTGCAAGACAGCCTCATAATGGGGCTGGTCACAGTCACAGATTCTGCTGCGATAGACTGTGACCTTTGTTCTCATTTGGGATGATGACTTAAAGGAACAGAAGAGAATGGGTGGACCTGTCCCTAACAAACTGGGGTCTACGCAATAATGGTTTGACACCTCTCCTTTCCCACCTGTTCCTAGCAGTTTCCATTACTGCCTACAGGCAGTGGGCCTGAGAGGTGTGGCTTCCCAAAAGCCCCGAAGTCCAGATTGGCCTCAAAAAAGGGAAAAAGGAAGAGGCAGCTTTGTATTGTTCCTCGGAGTTTGTACCCATATCAACTAGCTTTTTACTTCAAGTTTCTGGTTCATTTTCGATAAGGCAGGTGTAACCCTGAGCTTTTCAAAGGCCTGAGGTCCCTCCAGGGAGACGACAGTATCAACACAAGATGTGGTTCATTTAATGCAATAGTGATTTTTTTTCTTTTTTTTTTTTTTTAACAAAAGTTGGTGGTTAGGGTTCTTTAAAATATATATTTAAATAACTTTTTACATTTACATATAATATCTTAGAAAAAAAAAGCATAGAACTCAATCCCACACACCTCAGAAACCCAAGCACACATTACATTACAAAACAGAACAACACATTATTAAAGAGGCAAAGAGCTCAAGAGATTTTGTCTGTTGGTTTGTTAATGGAGAAGGGATGCCACAGGTGGCTCACATTTTGGGTTGAGGAGGGCTCTTTATTACCACTTTTATGTTTGTCAAAGCTAAAATATATGAATGTGTGTGTATGTATGTATACATGCATGTATGTGTATATGTATATATACATATATATACATGTATATGTATACACACACACACACACACACACACACACACACACACACACACACACA